GTGTCATGCAGGGAATTCTGGGAGTGTCAATTTACGGTTTTTCACTGTAAATTATACAATGACTTTTTCTTTTTCACTTCCAAAAACCGTATTTTAACAGTATTTTACTGTAAAATTACAGTAAATGTAATTACATTTATTCACCGAATATAGTATGGTTAACCAGTTAATAGGTTTTTACTGTAGCATTTTTACAGTCTTTTACTGTTAAAATCACAATCAATTTTTACAGTGTAGGATGCCTAATAATAGTGTTTATAACACACTGTGTAGAGAGGTAAGCGCTGTTTTTCTGCTATTCCACCTACTGTCAGAGAGTAAATGTGCATTTTCATTCAGCCTGTCTGCCATTTTTGTTCAGACCAATTATATTTGTCATACATAACCCTTTATAATGCTGAAATGTGAGTTTTATCATTTTACGAAAGTTTTTGTTTTTGTCAGTTCTTTAAATCATAGTTCTCTTTACAGTTTAAGATGTTAAAGGTGCAGTATGTAATATTGACAGCTAAAATATTAAAGAGAGTTGTTTCTCCCACCCCTCCTCAGACTCGATGCTTACGCGGGTTGCCAGATTGAGGACACGCAACAGCAGTGTTAGGGGTAACACATTACAAGTAACGTGAGTTACGTAATCAGATTACGTTTTTAAGTAATGTGAAACATTAGCGTTAAAGAGGCATGGACAGTTCTTTTTGCAGCTGATCTTATTGCATATGCATTTCTAGGAGTTTCACTTTCAGATGCAACATTTATAGGAGGCGAGTGTTTACATGAATCACGCAATGTGATTTATTATGGTTTGCGCTAGTCAGTTTACAGATATTTGCGCCATTATTTAACGCTCCAAAAAAGCATGTCTTGACCCACTTTGCTCCTGTGTTGTTGGTAGATTCCACTGCACCTGATTGTCATCCGCTCTGCTCTTTTGCGACTTCACGCTAATTTGCGCAGATTGTGTTGATCAATATGGAAACGATCTGCGTCTGTGTTCTTTAATTTGTGTATTGTCAGTAGATCAGCAGAACTTTTCATTCCCATCAGTGCTTTTATGGGATTGCGGTCTCACATTAATTTGCCCTGTTTAGTAAATCTGGCCCTTAGGAGCATTTTAGCACTTCCAGCTCCATCGTCCCACAGTCAGTGGTCTTTTGAATGGGTTTGTGGTTAAATGCCTGAAATAAGGAAAACTCATTTACTCACTAGTGCGCTTTCACAGCCTTGCTGTGCTCTAGCAAACTATTCTACAGGTGCAGTCAAAGGCAAAGGCCAAACCAGGCAGTGTTTTGTTAGTTAGAATGCTATGAATTTTCAAATTCTGCATGCGAGAAATTCCCAATCGCATGGATTCCTATTGAAATATGTCATGTGACTGCATTTATTTTGATTTTTACCATGCATTTACATTACACATTTAGTTGTATTCATTTGGAAAGATTATCTTGATGAACAAAATGTGTAAGAATCATACACTTTTTATTAGTCACTGAGCTTATTTCCAGCAATAATGCAAAATCCTACTGGCTTTTTGACAAGGGAAGCAAGGCGATGTTAATTTTGGGTTGGCTTAAAAAAATGCGTCATCACTGCAGCACTTTATACAGTGCCTCCCAAGCCTTTCCCATTCCCAAGATGCCTGAAGTTTTGTTTGAGACATTTAGTAGCATATAAACTAGATATGCATGAGCAGAACTGTATATTCTGCTTTGTTTGGAACTGCTGAGCGAGAGGTTATTGTATAACCACTCAATTAATGCACTACAAAGTCGCAGTCAGTGTTTACACTCGACCTACAATTAGCTTAGTTGTCTCTGCACATTAAACTAGGATGGAAGATGACATGATTTAAAATATAGCATTGGAAAAATTACAACACTTTAAACCAAATGCAGATTTTTGAGGTAAAAAGAAAAAAAAAAGCCTCGTAATAGCTTGTAATTTTATCTTTTTATCGAGAGGCCACAGTTGCATAATGCACCTTTAAAGCTGAACATTCATCACAATGCACAATCATGCTGACCGAGCAAAACATCTGAACATGTCGAGTTCAATAAAACAGCAAGGAACAAGGTCACTGTTTTTGACTATTCAGATAAATGCAATTTATTCCAATGAATCAGACACACATGTGTTTCAGCAGAAGACTTTGTTTTGCTGCAACCATACCATTTTTTCCTCTGGGGATTCTAGTGTTATGCAACAAACTGTGATTTATTGATGCCACCGAGTACAACAGGACATTAAAGGATACAAAGCAGCCTTTCAAACGCTTCTGGGACTGATTTTGCCCTCAGCGCCCTACACTTCATAGTCTCACTAACACACATTAGATAGGCCAACATCACAAAAGCCCATGCACAAAAGTTTACATGCACAAGAAACGGTCATGTTCGGATTACACAACACATTAACCTGACTGCCATAACCAGATTAAGCATATTCTGTTTTTTTTTTAATCTGAATAATAAAGCCAGCATATTTTCCAGCATATTTTTCAAGGTTCCAACACAGCTGCCTGGTTTGTTGTTTCCAGTAATCTTGAAGACCTGGTTCAGGTGCATTTAAATAGGGTTGGATTCATTCATATATATAT